ATTCGAATTCAAGAGCTCTGGCCATTGTATCCTGCATAGTAGAGGGGTGTGCTTGCTTCACTTGTGGACTGTCCAGGGCATCTATAAACTGATCCTTCAGCAACAGTTTGAGTACATCGGGTGGTGCAGTTGGGTAGGTTTTGTGTGCCATACTTTCCAAGTCCTGTGCCAGCTCTTGCTGGCTCTGCCCTTTAGCACGGACTCTAGTCCTAAACCTAGCCCTGTAGACTTCAGACTGATTTGGGTTCCATACCTGAGTTCTAGATCAGGTACCAGTGTGCTATAGTTGTGCCTGTCGTCTGCTAACAACTGTCCAAGTATTTCCAGAGGTTGTCCATTCAAGCTCGTTGCCAGGTACACTGCTTTCTGTTCCTCCATCCATTCATTTCTACCAGGAGCTCAAATTGTGCTCTATATGCTTCCCATGGTGCATTCCCATCGAATTTCTGTGGCTTCCTTCGTACTAGATCACCCCTATTGCTGACACTCATATCTGGGATGTGACTTCTAACAGGACTGAAGATGTCTGCATTACGATTTAGCTGCAGGGTCTGGAAGGGGCTTCCTGTTGTCTGAGGCTGATTAGTTCCATGGCTATTATATCCTCCTTGTGTAAAAGACAGTAAATCATCCTTTGTTGTATTTAATTCACTTTGAAATTTACTAATCTTTTCTATCTGTGTATGCTGGCTTTCTCTCAACTGTTGGAGACTTTCTTCCTGTTTCTTTTCTTGTTCCAATTGCCATCAGTGCTGGTTTTCTTGCCACTGCTGTATTCTCTCTTCTTGTTTATTTTCTTTCTCCTTCAACTACTGCTGTAGTCTCTCTTCTTGTTTATTTTATCGTTCTTCTTGTTTATTTTCTTTTTCTTCCAACAACTGCTGTAATCTCTCTTCTTGTGTTTTTTCTTTTTTCCTCTAACAACTGCAGTAATTTCTCTTCTTGTTTCTTTTCTTTTTCCTCCAACAACTGCTTTAGTCTCTCTTGTTTCTTTTACTGTTCGAGCAGTCACTGTTGCAGGTTTTCTTGCCACTGCTTTTGTCTCTCTTCTTGTTTCTTTTCTCGTTTTTCTTGTTTCTTTTGCTGTTCTTGTATTGCTGCCATCAAATCTGCTAAGTCGTAGTTTGATTTGCTACTTCTCGTTTCCATCTTTTTTTTTTCTTCTTTATCCCACTATCCGACACCAAATTGTTACATATATGCTCGTTTGTTAATTTCCGGTATAAATTCTTTCTGAGGAACTTGAGTGATACAAGTCCTTTCTTAATTAAAACTAGTTTATTCTTTCTGATACAACTTTTAGTAATACATAGAATTTCCACAGTCACTTTAAACTTAACAACCTTTATAACACACGATGTAAATCACAGTGATTCACACACTTTACTTATGGTGCCTACTATTCACTTGACTCAATTATCAATCACTGGCTTTATTTGCCACGCTTAGATACTAAAGAAGAGGGCATTTGGCAAACACTCGGACATTCGCGGGGTTCCTCAATAATTACTGATCCCTTGAGAAACTCCAGTGCACATGCTTCCAGCGTCGCATGACTTCTGCTGTCGTAACAGTGTTATAGAACAAAGGAGGTTTTGCTACAGAATGCATGTATCAAACTCTCACACAAACCCAGATGCTTTGAAGTTTGGCTGTTAATATACTTGCTTTATTCAAGCAGTTTCAAAGATAGTTAAGCAAAGATATAACATGCAGCCTTGAATTTAATAGAAATGTCATATAAAAAGGTTATTACATAGCTTAAAAGAATTAATATACTATAATATTTGTCTACAATGTATTAGTGATAGGCAAAATAGTATCTTATCAGGAATAAAATAAACATACTTACTGAGAGGCTTCTTCCAACATAATTATTTTAATTATAGCCAACATTATTTCTTAGCAAGTATAAAACAAAATCACATATAAACCCATGAGAGCTTGACTTCAAATTATATATCTATATTTATATATATGTGTGTCATAATCATCAGCATATTTTACAAATCCTAACACAAACTCACCTAATGAATTCTTATGATTGATCCCAACATACATCACATGATCGTAATTAATATCTTCTGGAAGTTTGTGATTAAACTCTTTTTCTTGATGATTTGGTTCGTCATTGACTCGAATAAAGCCTTTTTGGCCAACAATCCAGGCAAAAATAGTATTCCACATGTCTGTCTATTGAAAAAAATTACTCATCAGTTAAAACTGTAACATATATATTCTTAACATTTCCAGATTTTTTTTTTCAAGGATATGTTAGGAATTCATGCAGTTGTGTTTTTATTACTTAATTCAATTGACAAGGATGCATAAAACAGTCTGGAGTTGATTACACTAAGCTGCAATTTTGTTTAAGTTATTATGCCTATCAAAAATAAAGATGTTAATATAAATACCCTCTGTATATGACACTCCATAAAAAGTACAAAAATTCACATGCAAGCCCTCACTACAAGCAATACATCTCCTTCCTCCCAAAAAAAGGCTCCAATTTCTAATATAAAAACAGCAGTGTGTCTGGTCTCTTTATTTCATTCATCCTCATAACTCAGTTATTCATTACTTCACAGTATATGTCTTGATCGAATTTCCTGTAATTCTGAGGATCTATCTTGTGGCTGTCAAGCAAATTGAGATTTATCTGAATATACCACAGAGTAGATAGAAAGGAGAAAAGTATGGTCCTATGACCACAATATATCTTATTGTGGAGTTTGCTGATTCTGTTCAAATGTATTCAGCCATTTTCTTAAACTCGTTGTCCGGCCCACCAAACATGCTCAACCTTTTGGTCGTAGGGGCATTATAATGTGACAATCAATCCCACTATTTGTTGGTAAAAGAGTTGCCCAAGAGTTAGCGGTGGGTGGTGATGACTAGTTGCCTTCCCTCTAGTCTTACACTGTTAAATTAGGGACAGCTGGTGCAGATAGCCCTCGTGTAGCTTTGCACAAAATTCAAGACCAAAACAAACCTTAAACTCTTGTGCTTGTTATTGATGTAAGTGGCATTTTCAACAACTAGAAAGACTTATGACTAACAGAGGGAATCAGTCACTGAAGGAAGATGGTTGTCTGGTCCAAGAGAATTTCTATCTTGGATGTCTGATAATGTTCTGAAGGTCCGTGACTTCTATCTCATTACATCTGATGACTCAAAAAGAAGAGCTACCAATGTCTGGTGCATTAAGAATGACTGTCCATGTTATTTTCCGGAGAATTGACTTCAACATGAGGAAAACATAGATCAATGGGGCATTTCGTGAGTCTGAGAGAGGTGGCCTGTCTAGGGCTCTCAGACTTATGTTAGCCAGAGTAACCCAAGCCACCCAAGAACATCAGAGAGAGAGATTGGAGGTGCTACTAGTAGATTCTGCTTCTACAACACTGTGCCTATGATATTGAGGGCACTTTAGTCAACAAGCTTTAAAGGAGAATGTCTTACTACAATCATGATTCCAAATGAGAGAGGTGAAACAAATCGCTTCTCTGACATTCATGCATACAGTAAGAAAGATTTGAATCATTTTCTGAAGTGTTTCAGGCAGGTAACTGCTTGAATAAGCTGGATCCTGATTCATTTGAATGATAAACAGAGCAATCCATCAGACCAAATTCAAAGTTCAGAATAGGGGTATCATAAGGAAAGCTTGAATGCTTAAATGAATAAGTTGCTGTTTGAAAGGTAACAATTATCCTGTAAAGAACTTATTGGATTCCAAGTATATCATTATTGACTAGTTTGTTGAAGGGTTACCCAGTGAAATAATGAGGCATCTTATACATGTGAGAGATATTTACACATTTACTTAGGCAGCTAATACCATGATGCAGTATGTAGTGGCAACTTCAAACCAATCATAAGAGAGGAAAAACCCTGTAGTGGCAGATGCAGTGTCTTTATTGCTGACAGTGTCTTACTCAGGTACCCAGGTCATGCAAAGTTCAATCTCAGATGAGGAGCAACCAACCACCTTCATATGCTAGTGTTGCATACACACTGCTATCCTGTGAATGGAGAGGGCATTCCAACTTTTCCCCGTGGTATATATGCTGCAACATATGCTTCTGATGCCCCCATCACAACATTTTCCTGAAAAGAAACAGTAAATTTTGTGTTTTTCATGTAGAACTTTGGATCACTTTTGAGTGAGCTACCCATATCTTGCCAAAGAAAAAGGTAAACAAGTCTATCAGTTTTGAATGATGATGCAACGAGTGCAGGGGAGTAAACAGCAGGCAGTGAATACTACTACTACAGCCTCCGGGAAACTAGAGGAGCCCAGGTTGGGTCTGACCACAAGTTTAGGAGAGTGTGGTGGCCAGCTAAGCTTTCTCTGGGCTGGGTGATTCTTGACATGGTAAAACCAAGAGATGAAATTCTTGGTTGATACAGGATTAGGCAGAACACTGATAGACCTTGTGATACATCAGACAGTTCAAGCAAAATTACTATTTGTGCTAATTCACATGAACTTTGTTCTGGAAAAATGTTTCAGAATAACTTATTCAGCCTTCTTATTCCGAAACATTCAAAACCTTGTAAATCAAATGCTTTATGTTTTGTCAACTGTCTTCATCTTCATTATTAAACTTTGGTTTCTCCATCATGAATCCATTGCAATTGTAGGTATACTAGATATAAATGGAGAGGTCTTACTCTGACTATGTCTAGGAGGCTTCACTTATACAATGAAGGAAGATATCACAACTTTAGTTCTGACATTAGCATTCTTGAGATGAACATACTGAGAAGCTTAACAGTCAGTTTTGCCCATGCAATCAGTAAATTAATGTTCCATGGTAGAGTTATCAAATTTCAGCCAGATCAACTCCAGGAAAAATATACTGCAGAAGTGTGTGGGTGAGAAGAAATTACAGTATTATCATGTACACAAGTGGTATTTCATAGTTTAGTACGGACAAAATCTAGTGTATAAATGCTGTGTAATGCTGTTAGAGCACACTACTGAAATAGGCAGTTTTCTGTCACAGCATTATGTTGGATAGTTATGTGATTGAGGAAGATAAAGTCCCCATATTGTTCTGAAGTTATGAATGATCAGTTATGCAGCTGGTACATTAACGACATTTAATATATAAATTCCATATCTCTGCAGAGTTTCTCATTAATTTTATTAGTTTCAACTGGTGACCTGTAACAAATTCCAACTAAAAGCCTACTCCTTTTATAACCACCAACAAAACTCAAACAGATTCAACCTCATTGATTTCTTTAATATCTTTAACTTGAACAGGATGTAACTCATATTTTACATATGAAGGTATTCCTCATTCTCTTTTTAGCACTCCATCCATATCAAACAACTTACCTTGTATTTCAAAGAAATTACTATTATGAAAAATCTCTACATTTACTCAGGTTTCAGTTGTTCCCATTTTATCAAAATTCTCTGTTCTGACCAGTGCTCTAAGGTACTCTGTTTTACTTCTTATACTCCTAGCAATTTTATGATAACAGTTTAGACTACTTTTGTACCTTGTTCCCACATCATACCTCTTTAGGTTCAAACCTTGTAAATAAAATGTTTTATGTTTTGTCAACTGTCTTCATCTTCATTATTAAACATCGATTTCCCCATCATGAATCCATTGCTAGTGTTATAACCCCTGTATTGGAAGCAAATATATGTGGCTAGTTGTAATAGTTCAATTAGATGTTTCTGTTTTATGTTGATTCCCTTTTTTGGGGTTTTGTGAAACATTTTCTGTACTAAATCATATTACTTTATGACACAGAGTTTGTGAGAATAGACTTATGACATCAAAACTACAAATAGTGATGCAGCTGTCTAAATGTGTATTTACAAGGGTTCTGGTTTAAAGAGTAGTAAGACGACATAATTAGGCTTAAGGTTATTATGGACTTTCAGTAGATCACAGATTTTTGGTTGGTTTGTATGCAAAAAAATTTAAAGTTTAAATGTAATAATAGTTTTTGAATAGTATTTTGAGTAGTTTCCTTAATTTTTTATTGTATGTTAGGTTGAGGTTAGTACTTGAATGAGTTAATTTAGATGATTTATTCAACACATTTATCATTATGGAATCATTTTGTTTGGTTTTAAGAATTATGATAGTATTCTTTATTGGCTATTTGTTGTTTTTAAAAAGTTTTAGACTTTCCTTTGAGCTCTTTTAAAATTTTGTTTTATAAGCTTCTTATTGTTTAGTATTTTTTGAAGTTTTTAAATTAATTTAATGTAGAATGTTTTTAACAGACCTGTTTTTGGTTTAGTTACTTATTCTTGTTGAGCATACACTATATACATCACAGAAAACATTGATGAAAAAGTTACACACTTAACTCATTGCTTTACTAACATAAGTCCATTCCTTACCACATTCATTACACACACTATTAATGAATTTTAAAAATACAGACAAGGCAGGTACATTTTACAAGCAAACAAACTGCTAAAACACTCCACAAAACAGAGGAAACTCAATCTCTGATACTATTCTGAATGCAGAAAACATTAGCATACCTTTGATATAGATAATCTTAACACAACGACTACATCCATTTTTACTCCTGGAATGAAAATTAAACACATTAATAAAATTATATAACAAATTCACCTAACCAGGAAATATTTACAAAATACAGTATAGCAGTAGCCCAGCATTATACATAGGTGAAACTGGAGGTAACTTGAACATCAGGTTAAAACAATACCTTCCCATGTCCATGAATATATGAACACAAACAACCACAGTTTTCCTGAAGAGAATGCTGTCACACTAAAATATGAATCTGACATTAGCATAATAAAAATTGGAGAACTTTTATTAGTAAAATCAAACTATCCCACAATTAAGAAATGGCCAGGCACAACAACAGGCCAGGTTTTGATTGTTATTTTCTCAGGCATTTCTAATATTATCCAAATCTTTCACACAACATCTACATATTGAATTTATCCACTTTTCTATTTTATCTGTTCAGCTATAAATAATTCTGTCAATTCACACATTTATAGTTATATTATTAAATGTTGATTTAAATACACAAACCTTCTTTACCATTAAAGCCTGTGTATGTGAGAATGATTGCATCATCAATTAAAACATCGTGCCTGTTTAAAAAATATTCTTCCTTGCTGTAAAAGCTGTAACCTGTAAAAAACAAAATAAAAAGTGCACTACACTGTG